GCACGGAGGGCGGGAAGGGGAGCACGGAGGGCGGGAAGGGGAGCACGGAGGGCGGGAAGGCGAGCATGATGGAGGAAGGAGAGGCAGGGAATGGGACAAGACCCACCAAAACCAAGTATGTGTGAGAGCACTACCAGGAAAGACAGACAGACAGACGGACAAACAGAGAGGGGACAGCCAGGATCAGCCCGTAAGAGAAAAGAGGCTGGGGACAGTTTTACATAAACAGAGACTAAAGACAGGGACAGCAGGTGGCGGGACAGGAGCTCCGGATGAAACTCTGGACTGGGAAGAAAATATCGGAAAGGCACGTTGTTGAGACATTCAAATGAGCAATAGTAATTCATGACTCAAGATGAAAAGCACATCCATGTTCCATGTATCAGGCTTCCATTTTTTCACAGGTTCCAGTTTTCAAAATCAAGTTATTGTAAAGAAGATAAGAATGGAGGAATGAAAAACGAAAAATAAAAAGGAAACAGTTCTTCAGATAATCACCAAGTGCTTTTAAAGAAAAATTTTGAGACAGGGTCTCACTGTTCACCAGGGATGGCTCTGAACTCGCCACTCTCTTAGACTCTTGAGTGCTGGGATTACTGGTGCTTTGGTTTTGGTTATACCATTACTGGTATATGGTTTTCAGGATATGATATTACATGGAAAAAACAAGGTGTAAACAGTATCGATAGCAAGGTACCTTTTATATTGGAAAACGAACTTAAATAACAATCCCTTTTATTCTTTTTCACTGCTGGGGATCAAGCCCGGGCCCCTGTGCATGCTGGGAGGTGCTCCTCACTGAGGTATATGCCCAGTCCTTGACGAGATTTTTTATCTTGACTTTATATGAAAAAACCTCTCTCCCCTGGAAACACACACAGTGGCAGGGACAAGTGTCTCTAGGATCAAACTAGAATCTTATTTTGAAATATTAGCAATTATTTAAAACCCCAGGTGGAGGATGGGCATAATCAACAGACAGTGACTGCTTCCAGGGAGACAGAGGGACTGGGCATTGGGTGCGGGTGAGACACTTGGCCTGTACATAGACAAAGGGGTTTGTTGGTAAACAGAGTAAAATAATTCAAAATACCATGGGAGTCTGAAATATACATTGTTTTTTTGTGGCCGTCTATACTTGCTTCCCATGATGGTGGATCTTGGTTGTCAACTAGACAACTAGAATCAGCTAAAACCTGAGAGGCCAGGCATTCCTGTGAGGGATTTTCTTGACTGGATCATTTGAAGTGAGAAGACCCACACTAAATCTGAGCCACACCCTCTGGTGGCAGCCCACATAAAAGGACATGGGAGGAGGAAGCTTTTCATTTTTGCCTGCCTGCCCTCACTCTCACTGGCAAATTCACCCATCCAGCTGCTGAGGCGTTCCTTCACTGGGATTCAGACCAAGTTCTTCAGCATTTCAATGTAGACAGTAACTCTCTGGGAATTTTCTGGAACTCCCAACACCACACTGGGACTGCTGAGACATCCAGTGTTGTGGATTGAACAATTACCAGATTCTTGGCCCTTTTTTTGTTTGTTTGTTTCTCCATGTAGCCCTGGTTGTCCTAGAACTCACTCCATAGCCCAGGCTGGCCTCGAACTCAGAGATCTGCCTGCCTTTGCCTCCCGAGTGCTGGGATTAAAGGTGTGTGCCACTACTACAATTTTTGGCATTTCTATAGAGACAGCCATTGTTGGACTACTCAGACCATAGTCTTTAAATTACACTCAATAAACCCATATATATACACCTCTTATATAAATATATTTCATTCAATCAGTTCTGTGTTGTGGAATAATCTTTTTATACACTGAATATGCCACTCAGATTGGTTTAATAAAAAGCTGAATGGCCAATAGCTAGGCAGGATTTCCAGGCACAGAGGATGTGGGGAAGAAGGGCGGAGAAGCCAGCCAGACAAAGAAAGAGTTGAACATACAACATTGGATAGAGGTAAAAGCCACATGGTAGAATGTAGATTAATAAAAGTATGGGTTAATGTAAGTTATTAGAGCTAGTTAGAAACAAGCCTAAGCTATCAGTCAAACTTTCATAATTAATAAGAAGTCTTCATGTAGTTATTTGGGAGCTGGCTGGCAGGACAGAAGAAGTCTGACTACAGTTCTGCTCCTTTAGAGAGCCCTGACTAATACACTTGCATATCGTGGGATGGGGATTGCACAGTGAAGCCCCAAAGATGGTCTAAGAGATGGGCTCTAGGGATATTTGAGGATAAAATGTGCAGCCACTGGCAAAGGCATACAAAAGATGCTCAGGAACTTTTCCTGAAGATTTCCCCCCGGGCAGCAATGCCAAGAGCTCGGGGTTCTGGACCAGCTGGATGCCTCTGTAGTCACCTTGCTACACTTACAAAGTAAATATCAATACACTGAGGACACAGATTCTGGAGTGTAAAGTCACGTGTTGGCTTTTCTTCTCACCTGGGCTAGGGCCTTCTACAATTTCTTTTATCACCATCCATGGCTCTTCTAAGATGGGAATCACAGTTGGCCTGTAGACGGTCAGTCCTGGTTAGGAGGAACAGAGGGAGTTTATCCTGAGATAAGGAGCTGTGTGCCTTTACTCCTGATTTCTACTTGGGCTTCTGTGGGGAGACAACGGCTCACGGACATGACCTAATAGGAGAACTAGGTGTGAGGCAGCAACCAGCAGCAGCAGCACTCTACAGCTGTGTGCTGTGGTGCACAGGGACCCACCCTGCAAGCCTTTCTTCTGGGGAACAGCAGAACATGACCATTCTGTGCTGAAGGAGACTTGTTACCTCTAGACTCTGTCTTCAGTCCAGTCCTTCAGGAGCCTAACCTGATTTTTAGGAAGGAGGGGCAGGAACATACCGCAGCAGGCCTTTTGGGAGGAGAGGTGTGGACCTTACCTAGAGAAACCATGTTCCAATAGTTCTGTAAAGTCACAGTCTTATACAGTTCCTTCTGAACGGGGCGCATCAGTTCCCAGTCCTCTTGGGTGATATCCACGGCCACATCTGTGAATGTCACCGATTCCTAAAATATCAAACATAACTTACCTCGGTTGAGGAACTAGTGAGGGAGGAGACAGTGGTGACACTGGGTGTGTGTCTGTGGTGGTGGACGTCACAGAATCATAAGTCTCATCCTGCTGGGTGTGGTGGCCCACTCGTAACACCAGCATTCAGTAAGTTCTGGGTTAGCCTGAACTACACAGTGAGACCTTGTCTTCCACCAACCAACCAAACCAAGGTCCAAAAACCCTCATCCAATATGTGGCTGACTCCCTATTCTCCTTAAAAGGTCCTTAAAGGGACATTTAAAAATAGGTAGAATATATTATTTTCAGCTGGTACTAGTACATGCATTTGGTGGCTTCATCTTAAAGAAAAGGGCTGGGGTGTAGCTCAGTGGTAGAGCACTTGTCTAGTAGACTCTAGCTAGACTCAGATTCCATCTCTAGCACTGAAAAAAAAAGGGAAAAGAAAATGACTATGTGTATGCGTGTGCATGTGGTGTGTGTGTGTTTGGATGCATGCCGATGTCATGGAGTGTGTGGTGGACAGAGGATGATCTCAGGTGTCAGCCATCACCTTCTACCTTATTTGAGACAGGGCCTCTTGTTTGCTGTGAACCTCCAGGGATTCTCCTGTCTCTTCCAATCTTACCCCAGAGCCTGGGGTTATGGATGTGTATTAACACTTCTGGCTTTATGTGGGTTCTGGGATCCAAACTCAGGTCCTCACGTTTGTGTAGCAACAGCTTTGCCTACTAAGGCTTCTCTCAAGCCCAGAGGAAAGGCTGAAAACTAGATGACAGAGTTGGTTTTGCCTTAGGAATAAATTTGACAAGCTATAACTAAAAATCGACATGCTCTACAGTGAAATGCCGAGTCCATTCTTATTATCCCTGTCCTTTTTATTCCTGCTGAACTGCTGCTTATAGACACATTCACTGGAAAGGTTACTGTCTCTATGTTCTTGTTAAAAAATGGTTTTGTTTTTGTTTTTTAGTTTTTGGGCTGGAGAGATGGCTCAGCCACTAAAGGTTAGGCTCATAACCAGACATTTTTTTTTTCTTTTTGTTCAAGATAGGGTTTCAAAAAATGGGACATCACAAAATGTTTTTAAGACAGGGTCTCCACCATGTAGCCCTGGCTATCCCAGAACTTACTGTATAGACCAGTCTGGCCTCCTGAACTCAGAGATCCACCTGCTTCTGGCTCCCTAGTGCTGGGGTTAGAGATGTGTATGATTAGGCTCTTCATTACTCTGGCATGCTCCTTTTCTTCAGTTGTAACTTAAAAAAAAATCACATATTTTTGAGTCAAGGTTTTCATGTGTAGCCTATGTTGGCCTTGAACTCAGGATACTACTGCCTTAGCCCTACCCAACTGAAAAATTGAGAGGGTAAAATCATATTAAGTTTATGATTTAGGGAGATGACAGCTTTGCAATTATTACTCAAGTTTTTTTCTTTTTTACATCCTGTAAAGTGACAAAGGACATGAAAATACTGCAAAATCCACCAGGTAGCAGTGGTGGCACACGCCTTTAATCCTAGCACTCAGGAGGCAGAGCCAAGCAGATCTGTGAGTTTGAGGCCAGCCTGGTCTACAGAGGGAGATCCAGGACAGGCACCAAAACTACACAGAGTAACCCTGTCTCGAAAAACCAAAACAAAACAAAAACAAAAAAGGGAAATACTGCAAAATCCATACTATGCTTAGTTCTAGCTATGTTAAGATTTTCTTTTATGTGTATGCATGTATGGTACTGACTAATCTTATTTCATTTTATCATATGATCTTTACATAACACGGGATATATTTTTGCATGTTATTTTCTGTAGCAGTCCGTTTCTATAATTTCTAACATATTTCCCCTTGATTTTCTGATTTTCCAAGTAAATCATGGTCTGGGTAACAGGCTTCTCTCTCTCTCTCTCTCTCTCTCCCCCCCCCCCAATAAATCCACCTCTTAATAGTGCTTGAGTTGTTAGTCCTCAAATAAGAGACTACCATTCAAACAGTTGATCACAGAATATTTGGCCGTTACTTTTTGATGAAGAAAAATATTAGCAACCAGTGCTGTAATCTAGGATAACCAGATGGCTCATAGTTAGTGTCCACAATCTAAAAGGTAAAGTCTACTTCTTGGCACTGAATGTCTTGGGCCAGGAGTGGATAAGGACCTTGTCTCAAACCACAGATTCAATAGCAGAGTCACCACCCTCTCCGCTTCCCCCCAACTCTCCGCCGAGATCTCATGTGGTTGTGGGGTCACACTCAACCTTTACCCAGCACTGCTGGTTGAAGTCTGAGTGATGAAGACAAGGGAGGTACACATGCTTACCAGGGACACTGAGGCCTAGGTCCTGCGCGGGGCCTTTGAGGGCTTAGCTGCTGTAGGCCCAGGACAGGACGGCCTTATACACTAACGAGCAACTTTAAAATCACAAAAGAAAGTCAGACTCACTTTGGTCACCAAGTCATTGAGCCACCCTGCCTGGAAAGCATGTTTGGGGTCTTCCTCTGGGATTTCTTGGGGGAGGGCAGAATTCTGAGGAGCTGGGGAGACAATGATGATTAGTCTGTTTGCACGGTCTAGGACACACTTCACCAGCTATGTTTAATCTACACTTTCTCAATGTGAGAAGGCAAAGGACAACTGAAAACTTCGTTACTATTTCAGAGTCAGAGAAGAGGCCAATGACTGTCCTAATACATTTGTGCAGACATCAAGAACAAGCCTGCTTCGGCACTAAGCACATGAAGAAAATTCATACTTCTCTATTTTTTTTTCTGGGGTGGTGCTGACATTGAACCCTGAACCTTGTTCATAAAGGTAAGCACTCCACCACCAGGCTACATACATCTCCTGCTCTTTAAATCTCTGATACAAAGTTGTGAGTTGTCTCAATACATGAACGTTCTGTGGATACTTCTGCTATTTTGGAAGCATATTTTTGTAAAACCCAATTCATAAAACTAGTGGTTTATTAGCATAATGGTGCAACCCCCTGCAAGTCACAGTGGTCTCAAGCACTCTGGAAGGGGACACAAGGCAGGATGGACCTCATGTAAAGCTCATTCCTCAGTGACCTTTATTCTCCCCAATTTCATTTAAGGGGGGGGACTTGCTCTCAGAGGGGCCCCTGTCTTCTCTAACCACCCAGGGATTCCACCCCTCTCTGCGGTACAGTTCTCACCTTCCTCTTGCAGAATCTCAGTCAAATCCTCCACCAGCGTCACCACTTCCTCGCTGTTCTCTGGGTACTGAGACTTGACCCAAGCCCTAACCTCCCCAGGCAGGATGGTCAGGAATTGCTCCAGCACCAGCAACTCCAGGATCTGTTCCTTGGAGTGAACCTCAGGTCTCAGCCACTTAAGGCAGAGCTCACGGAGCTGACTCAATGCTCTCCGAGGACCTGCCACATCTGGGTATGGAAAATTCCTAAAATTCTGTCGACAGGTCTCAGTGTCACGAAAGAGACTTGAAGTGAGTGTTTGCTTCTCAGCACCGCGGGGGCCGTTTTGAACCCTGTCTGGCTTCCACATGAGAAGAACTTGGGAGCGTGAAGAATTGGCCATCCTCTTTCTTGAGGCTAACATTGCTACAGACAGAAGAACCAATCTGGCAGGATCCTTTATTTTTCCAGTATTGCAGCAACTGCTTGAAGTCTCATGCTATAGTCTCAACAATTCTTTTTTTTCCTCAAGGGCTGTTGCAGTCAGGGCCAGAATGGAACCACAGTAAAAGTAGCAGCTTGTAACAAACTCTGAGTCCAGAACTTGAAGGGATGAGCAAGACCTGAAACACAAGAATTGTCTTAGTTAGGGTCACTATTGCTGTAATGAAACACCATGAGCAAAAGCAACTTGGGAGGAAAGGCTTTATTTAGCTTACACTTCCACATCACTTTTCATCATCAAAGGAAGTCAGGATAGGAACTCAAACAGGGTAGGAACCTGGAGGCAGGAGCCGATGCAGAAGCCATGGAGGGGTGCTGCTTACTGGCTTGCTCTCCATGGCTTGCTTAGCCTGTTTTCTTATAGAACCCAGGACCATCATCCCAGGGATGGCACCACCCACAAAGGGCTGGGCCCTCCCCATCAGTCACTAATTAAGAAAATGCCCTACAGCCCGACCTTATGGAGGCATTTTTTCAACTGCGGTTCCCTCTTAAAAGACTATAGCTTGTGTCAAGTTGACATAAAACCAGCCAGTACAATTGACCTCGTCAGTTTGACACACAAATACATCATGTTAAGCCACAACCTTTCTTTTCTTGTTCATCTCCAAGATCACACAATATTGATAATAGTTAATATTGATAATTATAATAATCATCATGTACCAGGCTTTTTGTTTTGGGTCACAACCAGCTCCCAAATCATGACATGGAGACTTATTAGTTATGAATGCTCGGCCTAGCTTAGGCTCATTTCTGGCTAGCTCTTTTAACTTAAATTAACCTGTTTCTCTTTATCTACCTTTTGCCTCTGGGCTCCCCCCCCCTTTATTTTATTTTACAATACCATTCAGTTCTACATAACAGCCACAGATTCCCTTGTTCTCCCCCTTCCTGCCCCCCTCCCCTTCCCCCAGCCCACCCATTTCCACTCCTCCAGGGCAAAGCCTCCCCCGAGGACTGAGATCGACCTGGTAGACTCAGTCCAGGCAGGTCCAGTCCCCTCCTTCCAGATTGAGCCAAGCATCCCTGCATAAGTCCCAGGTTTCAAACAGCTAATTCATGCAATGAGCACAGGACCTGGTACCACTGCCTAGATGCCTCCCAAACAGATCAAGCCAATCAAATGTCTCACCTATTCAGAGGGCCTGATCCAGTTGCGGGCCCCTCAGCCTTTGGTTCATAGTTCATGTGTTTCTATTCGTTTGGCTATTTGTCCCTGTGCTTTATCTAACCTTGGTTTCAACAATTCTCGCTCATATAAACCCTCCTCTTTCTCACTAATTAGACTCCTGGCGCTCCACCCGGGGCCTAGCTTTGGATGTCTGCATCCAGATTCCTCAGTCATTGGATGGGGTTTCTGGCACAACTATTAGGGTGTTTGGCCATCCCATCACCAGAGTAGGTCAGTTCCGGCTGTCTCTCAACCATTGCCAGCAATCTTTTGTGGGGGTATCTTTGTGGATTTCTGTGGGCCTCTCTAGCACTTTGTTTCTTCCTTTTCTCATGTGGTCTTCATTTACCATGGTCTCCTATTCCTTGTTCTGCCTCTGGGCTTTTTACTTTCTTTCTTTCGGTATCTTATTTTCACTGTTTCTTGTGTCTGGCTGGTGATGTCTGACTTCTGGCCCTGGGCATGTCCCTCTCCTTCTCGTTCTCTTCTTTCTTCTCTCATGCTTTTTTTTTTCCTACTTATTCTCTCTGCCCGACAGCCCTGCGTATCCGTCTCCTGCCCAGCTATTGGCTGTTCAGCTTTTTATTAGCTCAATCAGGTGCCTTAGGCAGGCAAGGGGAACCAAATACAACACATCTTTACACAATTAACACACATCCTTACACCGTTAAACAAATGCAGCATAACCAAATGTAACACACCTTTGCACAGTTAAAGTAATATTCTGCAGCATAAACAAATGTAACACATCTTTGCCTAGTTAAAATAATATTCCATAACAACGTCACAATATAAAACATTTTCAAACTTAAAAAGTCCCACAAGTATTACAAAGTCAAACACTTTAAAAATTTTTGTTTCTTTTAAAATCCAAAGTCTCTCAACTGTGGGCTCCTATAAAATGAAGAATAAGTTAAATACTTTCTTATTTCAAGAGGAGAGAACCAGGGCACAGTCACAGTCAAAATCAAAACCAGACGGGTGGTGGTGGTGGTGGTGGTGGTGGTGGTGGTGGTGGTGGTGGTGCACGCCTTTAATCTCAGCACTGGGGAGGCAGAGGCAGGTGGATCTGTGAGTTCAAGGCCAGCCTGGTCTACAGAGTGAGTTCTAGGACAGACAAACAAACAAACAAAAAAACCTTCCAATTACATAACTAACTCAATGTCCAATGGCTGGAATCCACTATCTTTTGGGCTCTTCCTCTGATTCTATCCTCTGCAGTACACACAGCTGGTCTTCTAGGGTCCAGCAGGCTTCACTCCACTGCTGTTACTGTGTCTTGGTGATCACCCCATGGTACTGGCATCTCCAAAACGCTGGCATCTCCAGTAGCCTCTGTGCTAGCTAGTCTTAAATCAACTTGACACACAAACCAGAGTCATCTGAAAGGAGGGACCTCTGCTGAGAAAAGGCCTCCGTAGGATCCAGCTGTAAGGCATTTTCTTAATTAGTGATCGATGGGGAAGGGCCCAGTCCACTGTGGGTCCTTCCATCCCTGGACTGGTGGTCCTGGGTTCTATTAGAAAGCAGGCTGAGCAAACCAGGGGAAGCAAGCCAGTAAGCAGCATCCCTCCATCAGCTCCCACCTCCAGGTTCCTACCCTGTTTGAGTTCCTGTCCTGACTTCCTTTGGTGATGAACAGCAATGTGGAAGTGAAAGCCAAATAACCCCTTTCCTCAACTTGCTTTTTGGTCATGGTGTTTCATCACAGCAACAGACCCCTAAGATAGCCTCTCCTGGGCTCTCTTCAGGAATGCCAGCCCTGCCACACAGTGCCAAGTCTCAGCTGCTCTCCATGACTCCTTCATATCATCAAAACCAGGACCACCTGAGTGACTGGTACCCTGCCAAGTTCAGCTGTCAGCAGGAGGCACAACCTTGGCTGCCTCTGGAAGACAGCGTCTGTGTGCCTGACCCTGAGGAAACACTTCCCCCAGAACACTTCACCTCAGTGGTGCTGGTCTCCTCGTAATCACAGACGATTATTTAGTTCCAGCTGACCAGACACCAAAAAGCCAAATTTGCTTTCCTCTGAAACTTCACAGGCCAGGCCTCCATCATCGGCCCTGTTCCCAACATTCTTATCATCAGTTTCTCCAGAACATCCCACTGAGCTCTCAATGGCTTTTCTAGCCCAAAGTTCCAACATCCTTCCACAATCCTCCCCCAAATAACACGGTTAGGTCGGGATAGTATCAGCCCACTTCTGGTTCCCGTTTCTGTCTTAGTTAGGGTTACCACTGCTGTCCACCATCAAAGGGAAGTCAGGACAGGAACTGAAACAGGGCAGGGATCTGGAGGCAGGAGCTGGTGCCGAGGCCATGGAGGAATGCGGCTTACTGGCTTGCTCAAGCCTGCTTCTTATAGAACCCAGGACCACCAGCCCAGGGATGGCACCACCCACAATGGACTGGGCCCTCACCATCTATCACTAATTAAGAAAATGCCTTACAGCCGGATCTTATGGAGGCATATTCTCAACTGAGGGTCCCTCCTTTCAGATGACTATAGCTTGTGTTAGGTTGGTAGAAAACTATCCAGCACAAGAATGGACCATAAGCTCAAGAATTCCTGGTGCACTATGCTACTCATCACACACACAGAGGCAGACTCTGCAGAGTGCACGGGTAGACACATAAGAAGGATACACCCCGATCTTCTTTTCCTCTTTCCTTGGACTTAAAATATGTTCATCCTAGAGGAAGTGTATATGTGCGTGTGTGTATGGATGGTGGTGGTAGAAGCAATAATTCGAAGAATTATGAGCAGAATGGTTAATTTCTAACTTGTTAAAAAACTAACCATCTTACAGAAAGAAACGTTTCCCTATCTTTGTCACGGGTGTTCCCGCTGTTCTCAGCCACAGAGCAAATTTGCGATTCCTGGGACGAACTGGAGGTTTCTAAACAACCTCGTGGGGGGTGGGGCCCAGGCGATCTATTTATCCGCCTCGCACAGTCTACGCTACTCTCAGAGCCGGGAAAACAAGCCGGTTGGACCGTGATTCCAGGCTGTTCTCAGGAGCCTCCTCAAGTATAAACCGAAAGCACGATCCCCCAAAGCCAACCCCACAAGTACACAGACGCGGAGAAGAACCCACACGCACTTGTCCCGGGCTCCAACTCCCGGCCCCGCTCATCCGCAGTCATGCCCCCGGAGGAGATGCGCCGGCCTCGCCTCCAGCCGCCTCCCCTTCCCGGCCTCGCCCCGGCCCGGCCTCCCCGTGGACACTCGCGGGGACATCAGTACCTGTCGCTCGGCCCGGTCCGCGCAGCACGGGCAACAATGGCGGCGGCGTGGTGGGCGCCTGCGTGGCAGGCTCGACCCCGAGCAGCACGGGGGGCTCAGCTTCACTGCTTCCTCTCCGGGAGGAGCCGGGAGCCGCCGGGACGCGACAGCCCCAGCTGGGTCCCCAGAGGCCCCGGCCGGAACCCCCAGCGCCTGGGCTTCGCAGGCGACCTCGCCTCGGCGCCACTGCGCATGTGCTACTGGAACGCTGCGCGTCCGTGGAGCCAATGGGAAGCTGAACCCGGGCCTCCCCAACCCGAGCCCCTGGCCCTGGACCTGTCTCCATGGTAACCTCCTCCACCCATCACCGTGACTTGCTTGTTAGCTGCAAGGTTTTTTGACAGGAACTTGAAAGTTTCCCTGGGCAGAGACAGGCCTGGCAGACTTGGACATCGGGGCCGGAGCAGCAGCTGGGAAAGCGATTGGAGAGTAAAGCCGGCTTCTTACTACCCAGAGGATGCGGCTCGCAGGGAGGAAAGTCCACACTGCTCTTTTGGGGTGTACTGTGCACAAATTCTTAATGGCTCTGGCTGTCTTCTGAAGAATCTGGCACTGGGACCCTCAGATTCAACTAATAGACAAATTCTCTGTCTTTAGTATTTCTCTCAGCTCCTTCTTCTGTTCTGTGTATTCTTTGGCTTGGTCTTTTGATTTCACCCCAGACTTCTTGGACATTGTAATACTAATAAAAACTTTATTGAATTTGAATACAGTAGTCGATCTTGTCCTCTATCCTTGGTATTCTTTATTCTGCTTGGCCGAGTCTATTGGTGGTGTTTCCACTGTTTTTCTGTTCGGTTCACTGAGTTTTTAATTTCCAGCATTTCGGTGTGGGCTCCCCCAATGCCAAAATATCAATTTCCTTCTCTACTTATGCTCACAAAAGCAAAACCATCTAAACTTGCTGGGTCATCAAAACCAGGTGCAAAAGTAGGAGAGAGGTGAGTCTCTGTGAGTTTGAGGCCAGCCAAGTGTACACAACCAGTTCAAGGCTATCATGGGCTACATAATGAGGAAAAGGCTGGAGAGATGGCTTAGTGGTTAAGAGTGCTTATTATTCTTACAGAAGACCCGGTTTCAGTTCCTAGCACCCACATGATGACTCAAAGTAATTCCAGTGCCAGGGGATCCGATGCCTCTTCTGACCTCCACAGGCTCCTGCATACATGCGATACATATATATAACACACAGGCACACACGCATGCAATTAAATACATGATAATAATAAATGTTAATAAATGACATTTTAATGTACCAGAGGCCTTTGGAAAACAAGAACAGAAGACCAGGACAGTAGTTAGTGTTGATGGACAGCTAATGATTGTATTCCCTTGCACTTGTGAAAAGAGTTACAATAAACACAAATGTGCAAGTATCTACAGAATAGAAGTTAAATTACTTTAGGTATATGCCCAGGAGTGGTATAGCTGGGCCATATGGCAGATCTGCTTTTATTTATTTTTTGATAATCCTCCGCACTGATTTCCATAGCGACTGCAGCACATCACACTCTCATCATAGATATCTTCTTTCCCTGCAACCTTAAAAGCATTTGTTGACATTTGTTTTCTTGCTGGGAGCTATTCTGACTGGAGCGAGACTCTCAAAGTAGTATTTTCCTGATAGTGAAGGATGTTAAACACATTTAAAAAATTATTGGCCATTTTTATGTCTACTGTTGAGAATCCAGTTCATGGGCCCATTTACTGCTTTGGTGTTTAATTTATGCAGTTCTGTATATAGCCTAGACCAATGGTTCTCAATGTGTGGGTCATGACCCATTAGGGGTTCTTATTCAACCCCTAATGGTCCTTTCACAGGGGTCACCTAAGACCATCAGAAAACACAGATATTTACATTATGATCCATAACAGTAGCAGAATTATAGTTGTGAAGTAGCAAGGAAATAATTTTATGGTTGGGGTCCCCACAGCATGAGGAACTGCATTAAAGGGTCGCAGCATTAGGAAGGTTGAGAACCACTGGTCTAACTTGTCTAAAGTGTAGCTGTCAGAGGTTTCCCCCTTCTATGGTGAGTGTGTACTCACTCTGTTGGTCATTTCTTCTGCTGCGCAGATGCCTTTACTTTACAGAAGCAGTTCTCAACCTGTGCATGTGCTCTCCTATTAGATATCTACAGTATGACTCATACCAGCAGCAAAATTACAGCTATGGTTTTTCGAGACAGGGTTTCTCTGTGTAGCTTTGCGCCTTTCCTGGAACTCACTCTTTAGATCAGGTTGGCCTCGAACTCACAGAGATCCACCTGCCTCTGCCTCCTGAGTGCTGGGATTAAAAGCGTGCGCCACCACCGCCCGGCTTCAACCTGCTTTCTAAGAGAAGATAGGACCACCAGCCCAGGCATGGAACAACCCACAGTGGACTGGACCCTCCCCCATCAATCACTAATTAAGAAAATGCCTTACAGCTGGATCTCAAGGAAGCATTTTCTCAATTAAGATCCCCTCCTCTCAGATAACTCTAGTTTTTATGTCAAGTTGACATAAGACCAGTCAGCACAACTAACATTGATGCTCTTTTTTCCTACATTCTCACTAACAGTTTTTTGTCTTTAGTTTATCTTAATTACAACCTTTCTGATTGACATGAGATAGCAGAGTAGCTATAATTTGTATTTCCATAATGATTAAGGATCTGAACACTTTTCAAAATATTTGTTAGCAATTTGTATTTCTTCTTTTGGGAAATCTCTGTTCAATTTTATAATAAATTTTCTGATTAGGTTGGTTGCTTTCTTGATGTTTAGATCCTTGAGTTCTTTGTTTATTCTGTATACTAGTCCTTTATCAGATGGTGAAGAATTTACCCTATTCTTTTCACTGAGTTAACAGTTTCCTTTGCTGTACAGAAGTCTTTTAATTTCACAAGGTTCCATTTGTTGATGGTTAGCAGTATGTTTTGTGCAAATGGCTTTTTTTTTTCACAAATTCCTAGCTGCATACTAAATCTTTATTCTTTTTTTTTTTGGTTTTTCGAGACAGGGTTTCTCCGTGTAGCTTTGCGCCTTTCCTGGAGCTCACTTGGTAGCCCAGGCTGGCCTCGAACTCACAGAGATCCGCCTGCCTCT